GTTTCCAGTGCCCAGCAATATTGTTTTTATCAGAAAAGTGCTTGCTTAATAGGCACCACTGCCTTATCAGTTAAAAGGAAGAATAAAGCCATCACCTCCACATCCACCCGCACACCTTGGGCTTCGTTAGGACAACCACCAGCAGAGAGCTCTGAGCAAACCAGTCTCACGGGATTTACACATTCAGTGAACTCTGGAGACACGTTTCTCCCCTAGTCCTGCAGACCTGTGTGACGGGCAGGTCAGAGGCCACAACCTACACAGCTTCCTTTAGAGAAGGAATTTGAAAATAATAATGAAAACGATCTCCTTTCTGTGTGGAGCAAAGGTGAAAAAAGAGGACAGCAGAGCCTGCCGAGAAATTCAGACAACACAGAAAAAGCTACCTGGATAATTCAGTGTAAAGCATTCTCTCCTCTGCTGATTGTCCCAGCACTTCACTTTATCGTGGTCTGAGTCATTCACTCTTTGTCAGTTCGCCTCATGCTATCCAGCTAATATTAAGTATCTGTAGAGGAAATACTTCAGCCCTCACTGTGTGTAAGGCACTGTGCTCAGCGTATTATTTGGATCATCTCAACAACACACTGTGCAGTAGATGTTATCATGTCCATTTTAAAATCGTTGCTCATGGAGATGATGTAAATTATCCAAGGTCATACAACCAGCACCTAAGTCTAAATCTGTCTGCTTGGAACCTGGGCCCAGCTCACAGTATAATCTTCCTGCTACAGGTCTTCCCACCATCCACTCTTCTTTCTCACTATGCTACTTCTCCCTACAGTCATCCTCTGCCCCTTTGGTTAATAGATGTGGGTGTCCTGTTCATGCAATATGCATTTGTCAGGTGACTAGGATAGAGTCACGGGAACCCAATTTTTGTCAGGAGGAGGTTAACTGGCATGTGTTTAGAGAAGAGTAAAGAAAACAGGAGCAATGAGGGGCAGATGAAATAACTCATGATGCCCAGCCTTGGGAAAGGAAGACTAAGATGTTCATAATGAAATGGGAGAGCTTTAAAATTTTTTTAAATCATAGATTGTGAGAAATAAAACAATTTAGAGGCATCTGATTCCACTTTACAGATGGGAAAACTGAGATCCAGCTGTAAGTGGAATCTGGACCTACCCCACAACTTCTGACTACCTCTACCACTCAAGTCTCTTCATCAAGCTTCTTCACCAAGTACCACTACCACCCTCGAGACAGGCTTAGGAGGCTCTGACATGGCCATGACTTACAAGTACTGACACAAGTTTGGCTCAGTCTGAGGAGATGTACGGTGAGACACAACACCCCCAGCGGCTTGGCAATGCATTGGAGTATCACTGAAGGTGTTGCCATCATACCTGGCTGACATCTGTCACCAATGCTACAAATGGCATTCCTGCAGTGGATAATCACTTAGCCACAACAGTATTCAATTCAGTTCTGTCAAGCTCAGTGTCTGGCTTCAGCAGAGTCACTCAGAGAGTTTTTAAAAATCTGGGGATTTCTCACCTCTAACTTTAAAAATTCTAATGTAGGAGGTTTTGAGAAACCAAGGAACCAGGTCATTTCTGGGGGCCTGTCTAAGGCTAAGGTCCCATACTAATGTTACTTTCTCGAGCGTGAGCCTGTGAAGTACCACTCAGCTGTCATTACTGAGTCGGTGCATGTAACATGTAATCCACAAGAGACTTAGAATCAAGGGACAAGAAGTGTTGCTGTTGCCCTGGACTGCCTGTGTCCCTTAGACATGCAATGCATCTTCTGGTCTCAGTGTCCACTTCTTTAAAATGAAGAAATGGGTTACTAGAGCAGTGTTTTTCAAATGTATTTGTTTATGCATTAAAAAAAAAAAATGTAAGGGTAGGTGGCAAAAACTGTCCATGCCTGGCCCACAGACGGCCTCCTGCTCCTCACTGCTAACAGACATGACATGTCACTGTCAGGCATAAAGCTCAGTCTGAAGGTTCCTACTCTACATGAAACCTGATGGGCCCTGACTTGGCGTCATGGTGATACCCTTGATGAATATCACGATCCAGGTTGGGGCGTATGTTCTGAGACACAAAGGGAAGTCTCCAGGGGAGGGGACCCCGATCCATGGGGAAAGGTTCAGGAGGAGGAGTATTTTTCCATCCATGGCCTGGCACCTTTGCCCTGCGCTGAGCATGATACGTGGAGACGGGCACAGGCAGTCGAGGTCAGGAGCTGAGAAAGGTATAGCAGAAAGGAAGCTTTGGCCCTAAGAGCCAAGGCTTACTGTTGGAGCAGCCTCGACTGCCCGGGTGTGCTCTGCATCTGCGCGGGCAAAGAAAAAGTAAGGCCTTATATGTCAGTAGATACTGTTCTGTGTATTTAATTCACAAATTTTAGTATTACAGCTGTTAAAGCATGACTAAAATAGGGAGGTAATATCCAAATGCATGGTTTTGGTTTGTACATATTTAAGTAACAGTATAATAAAAATCATTAAATCAATAAGAGGCATGTACCTTCCAACTAAAAGGGGTCTCTGTATTACTCAAACTCTGGAAATTCTGGACTACAGGATGGTCCAAATTCCTTCCAGACAGTTAAAGTCTGTGATTTCACAAACTACCTTGCCTTGTGAAACTAACACTAGATATTTTCACCAACACCATGATACTTGTCCTTGGAGATGTTTTTTAAAATTAAAAAAAAAAAAGTAAATGCACTTATTAAACAAAGCACCTGTAGCATTTTATATTCCTTTTCAAAAGTTTGTCTTAATGACAAAAAGGCCATGGACAGGGCTTGGACGGCTTTGCTCGCTGCGATGACTCACCCATCTCCACCTGGGCCCTTCACTCAGCACCCCACCAGGAATATCTCTGGGTGAAGCAAACATGGGTAAAAAATAAAACCTTAAGTGCCCGCCCCGTCCTTGCTGAGACTGTCTGAACCCTTGGGCAGTGCCATGCTTACAAAACGTGCTTGCTCATTACTTTCCAGAAGGCACAGCAGGGCAGGGTGACCATGGGGTCTCCCATGGAGAAGAGGGTAAAACAGTTCTCCTCCCTGCGGCCGTGGTTTACCCACACACTTCAAGGGGAAATCTGCTGTTTCTAGTGCGCACGCTGCATTCCTGCTCACAGACCTCCCTCTGCCCTTGCTGCCGGTTTACGGTTTACGGTGCGGCCACTCCTCTCTCCTTGTTGACTCATCTCTGCCCTGGATTTCTCCTCCCTTACCCTCCTACCCTTTTTCTTTTCCTTTCCAAATGTCAAAAGAGCTCAGCTTTTCCCTCGTGTACTTCTAACGGAGGGAAACCATAGCGGTTCTTCCAAGGTTTCAGCACTGCTGCTCGTAATTATACAACCTGTTGTTGCCATTTCACGCCTGCTCTGCTCAACGCTTGACACATGCTAAATTTAGAGAAGGGTGACCTTAGAGCTCACTTGAGTCTCCTTTTTTCACTGGCAGTGGGCTTGCTGTAGTTCCTGTTGGTTGCTAATCTGTCTTGGCATTTTGCTCACTCAGTAGGCACTAAAAAAACATAGTGTAGTCACTGTCTGCCCTGACTTCTAACCGCACCCAGTTTCTTGTCCCATGTCCTACAGCAACCAAACCTTCCTGTTTCCAACCCAACCAAAAATGAGGTTGATGAAAAAAATATCTGTGTGCCATCTCCTGGGACAAGGAATCCTGCTGCCTGCCATTTCCCAATTCCCTCCTCCAAGGACAAAACTGTAAAGAGAATAAAAATGCTGGCTGAGAGCACCAACTGCCACCAGCAGGACACAGTGTCAGCCTGCTCATCTTCGGTCTCACCCAGAGCAAGTTTTGAAAGTCTTCTGCCCCACATTCGTCATTCAGCCATGAATCTCACCTTCTATTATTAGCTACATGTTGAGAGATTTTCACACTGAAGTGAACACACACTAATTCTTCACAGAGGTCCACCCTAAGAGGTCTAGCCACTCTGCTGCTATTAAGGAAGCACCCTAGAATTCATTCATCCATTTCCCTAACCAGACTCTTGGCCAAGCCCCCTTTGGGAAACACCCCTGCTGTCACTGATTATTCTGCCAGTAATCACAAAGCACAGTGAGATTTTAGTCCATCTCTTTCTGAGCTGAAACAGTGTCTTATATACAATTACATTATATTGTGCTTTTTGGGGGTGGGGGGGTAAAAATCTATATTGCTGATATGTTTGAGAAAGAATGATTTAAATTTTGTGGGTTTTTTTTAGAGCACTTTTCAGTAAGGGACAAAATCAATCAAATAAAATTCACACCATTTTATGTCTATCTTTTACCAATGATTTTACCACTGTTTTCTATTACTCTTTAGGTGTCTGCATTTCAAAAATACTGAACTGTTTTTTGAGAGCAAAACTTCCGGTTACTTGAACCCGGGAAATTGGAAATTATTATAGAAACAGAAGTATAAGTGTTGATTCTGCATATTTCCAGGCAAATGTATGACTGGGCTCCTTAATGACAGTCAAAATCGCACATAATAATAAAAGACGGCAGGAACTCACTCACACACACATATCTGCCACCACACTGTGAAGATGGATTCCAAAAGAGAAACCTCAGATTCTTACTCCCTCCTAAAATGAGAACCATTTTCTGCTAAAAACATCCCTCTCAAAACTCTCTGAAGCAAAGAACACAGTTTCATCTAAAATTATCTTTTTGCCAATGGACTGTCCTTCCACGTCAAAAAGTTACAGAAGGTTGGAGTATGAGATTTCACATACTTTTCTTTTTAAAAATCCTGTTTCCAGCTAAATCCTAACTTCCAAAAGTGTCTCTGTCATGCTGAAAATCAGCTCTCAAAAGGGGTGGACGAAAGAAAAGATGACAACAAAACACCAAAAGTTTAAGTGATAGAGTTCTAACTTGTGCGCGCGCACACACACACACACACACACACACACACACACACACACACACACAAACACAGAGTACTGGCAAACACGCAGCAGGCTGAGAGAGTGAAGAGAAGCGTGGAAATGCAAGAACTCAACAGCACCCTACCTCTCCTGTCTGCTTCACAAAGCGGCTGATGAAAATCGCCCCCAGTCCCGGAGTGTGCTGAAGAGGCTTTGAAGGAGGCGGCCGCTGGGCCCGCAGAGTGGGAGCAGGCCCAGCCTGCGCTCAGAAGCTGCTCCAGTCAGATTTTCCAACTGTAGAACTGCAGCCAAGTCCCTGCCCATGCCTGAAGAATTTCCTGAACAGCATTCCCGTTCTTTTTCTGACTGCTTTGAAACCGTACTCTGTCTGTACTTCAATATGGCTTTGTCAGGCCAACTTAGAGCTACTGGGCTGTCTCCAGCTATCAATGGGAAACACATGTGTCAAGCACAGACTCGCTCCCCTCCAACAGCGCCCATGGCGTCTGCTGGGCTCATATTCACCACCACAAAGCAAGCTGCTTCTAGAACCAATTCTGATTTTTCAGCCATTCTCCGGGCTCTGCTCCTTTGGCAATAGATGCTGGAGAGGAGTCTTCTCTCACTTCTGTTCCATGCTGCCCCTTTTTAACTTGCTCCTTCGATTCGCAGTCCCCAGCTGACCCCAGTCAGCCCCTTGAGTTTATGCCAGCCCTGTTGCAATATGAAGAGTGACAATATGAGAATTCACATACTTTTCTTTTTAAAAATCCTGTTGCCAGCTAACGAGCCTGTTGCAGCTGAGATGTGAATTCTAATTTGATCTTCCTACCTGCGTTCCCTCAGTCTTTGCTCAAAATTTCAATTGCTGGAGGGGGAACAATATTTTTAGCATTTCCAGGCTGCTTCAGTATTTCGGAGTGGTCCCTCATCCTGATGTGTGCATCTGTGGCTCCTACAACTAAAAATAATGCAATTATTTTCCAGCACTTTGGTTGCTCTCTGCTCTGTAACTGTGTTGGTCCCAAAATGCAACATTTCACAGGCTGTTGCAATATGTGTTATGGTTATTGGAAAAAGAAAGGAGAAAACAGTGTACCTTTAATCAGAATACATCTTAATTCTGTATTTTCTGGATGTCACACCAGTAGGATGTCCTGTGTACATTCTGCTGGATTTTGAGGTCTACCTTCGACATTTCCTCGTTCCATAAAACAAGAGGAAATCTCTAAAGATACAAAGAGGACACCCCTCTTCTCCTATATGGAAACCCCATATCTAAATAGTCCAAGCTAAGTTGTCACGGTAACAGAGTAGAAAAAGATTTAAAGAGGAAGCCTCATTTATTTTGAGCTTTTTCTCTTTACCTTTTTTTTTTTTTTCGTATTAATACTTTATTTCCTAAAACACCCTATTAGCAATGTATTTTAAAGAACTGGTATACCAGATTTTAAAAGAATTGTGTGTTGCTGAGGGGCTGCTGCAAGTAATAGGATTTGGTGGGGTCCTGAGTTTAGCATCGGATTGCAATGGGCACTTTCAGGAGGATTAGATTTTTGCATTGGGAAGCAGTGTGTGGATGTGTGTAGGGAGGGAAGCATGTATATACCTCAAAGGTCAGGATGCAATTACAGAATCAGAGAACTTTAGAGTTGAAAGGAACCCCAGAGACCATCCAATCCAATTTGTTTCTACCCTTCATTTTACACAGGGAAATGGAGGCCCAGATAGATGTGATGACTTGTCCAGAGTTGCAAAGACAGTTAATTCCAGACCTGAGGCTAAAAAATGGGATTTGCACTAATTTTCTATGGGCTTTCTCTATCCCAGCATTATCTGGGAAAGACAGTATAATCTAACCTTCACAAGAATAGGCTTACAATCAATTGGTTTGGGGTCTATTCTGAGCTCTGTCTCTTATTGGCTAAAAATTCTGGTCCGCTTGCTTATTAACCTCTCTGGACCTCAGTTTGCTCATCTGTACAATGGGGATAATAATCGAATCTACCTAATGGAATTGTTGAGAATTTGCTGAGATAATCCGTGTACAGTGTTTATTACAGTGCCTATAAAGTACATTTCAACTTAGTTTTCTTTTAATGGAGCAAAAACCAGACCCTTTCTCTTACCTAAAAGCAAAACTGTGCTCTAACATTTGAGTTTCTAGAATAAACTATTTGATTGTCTAGTTTTCTGCCACTTTCCCTTTACATAACAGGGGCCTATCCTCTTAAACAAAGGCAGTGTCCTAACACCTTATTAGAACATTAAGCCAACCAACACAGCAACTTTTCATTTATTTCCTAAACATAACACTGAAGTCTTTGCTCAAGATTAGCTCACAAAGGAAAGCAGTGAGACCAAATCTGCCATAAATTACATGAAGCTGAACAAAGGGCCATTTGCAAAGAACTAGACTTGTTCTCCAAACCTTAAAACCTCCAGATTACCATTCTAAAAATAAGAGATAATTAACTATTGCAATTCCCATGTTTGGTACCTGCAACAATCTAAATTAACAACAAAATAAAATCCCATAAGTTGAGGAAGAAATCTTTCCAAGGAAGCAACTGCTATGAATTATAAAGAATCAGTTTCTACCTGAGGTTCCATAGCCTTGCCTTAGAGTGACGAGTAGCAAGTGGTTAATGACCTGCTTACTACCTATTAGTCATGTTTGGTGTGCCCAGTTCCTTTAGGGGAAATAAAAGAGGAGGAGGTAATTTTGAGTGGTTTACAAATAAATGTCTTAGCAATCAATTAAAAATACAAACATACAACAACTGGAAAAACCAAGCTCAGACTCTACAATGGCACAACACTGGTGATCTGATGATCCAAAAGATGTTGCTCCAATATCTCCCCCAGACACTTGCTAATTGGCTCGGTGCAGTGTGGGCATTTGGAGACATATACCTCAGTGGGAGAGTCAGCTTCATTAGTACCGGCTGGAGAATCCTGAAAAGTTACTTAGTTCTTCTAAAGCTGAGAAAAATTATCCAAAACTTGAACATAAGGCCACAAGGAATCACATTTTTGCTCAATCATATGTGAAAATTGTTTAACATGCCCTCTCAAGAATTACTCAGGGGAAATGTGTTCTGTTCAATTCATTGTTTACTACTGAAAAAAGGTCCCAAATTCAATAGAATAGCTACCTGTTACCTTGAGCACTTTTGTATGTTAAACATACAAATTACTTCTCTCCAGTAGAAAAAATTAATCCCAAATGTGATTGTTTATTGCCATGTAAGACATTAATGAGTTTTGCATCTATTCCAGCATTTTGTGCTAACTTTCCATAGTTAATGCACCTATGAACAAGGAGCTCCTCACACATTCTTACCATTACACCGATTCCCTCATTAGTCAATGAGTCAAAACAAATATTTGACATGTCTTCACTCTATCTTTGTAGGATTCATGCTTTGAACTTTTAACATGTCTTCACTCTATCTTTTTGACATGTCTTCACTCTATCTTTGTAGGATTCGTGCTTTGAACTTTTAAAAATATAGCTTTTTACTGTTTCCTTTTCCTCACCTGCATAATGAATGTTCTAAGTCTTGAGAAAATGCATTAGAAAGCATTCAGCAAAGTATATGGCACATAGTAAATGCACAAACTAATAAACACTGCTATAATTTAATATTATATTTGGTTTTTAGTTTTGTAAAGGACTCTAGAGATCATGAAGCTAGATCACTTATCAGTCTCATTTCTATTATACTTTCTGATCCCTGCCAATAGATTCTGAAACCCCTCTTACAATGGCCAAACTTAACTTGTTCTTCCACAGAAGTTGACCTTGTTTTTCTGCTTTTGTTGTTCTAAAATTAACAACTGAAATATATCTCCAAATAATAACACAGGATAATAAATGTCAGTTAGAAACTCTGACCTTAAAGATGACATGAATGAGAAAACTTCAGTCTAAACTAGAATTAAATTTCCATGAGGACATGCATTTTTGTCTGTATCGCCTCCTTCCATTTTTCCAATGTCTGAGACTGATAGGTAGTTGGTGCTCCTATCTGCCCTTTGAATAAATGATGTCCTTTGACTTTAAACCATTCTCTTTTATGAATTATTTTGACTTTTATAGTTTATCATTTTATGTTTATCATTCTGGTACCATTGGATTATTTCTCTTCATTATGGTTTAGATTTCTTTTCTCCTCTGGTTTGCTTTCTTCTAGGAATGTTTCCTCTTAAAATGTGGTGCTGAAAAGCAAACAAACTTTTCAGATGCGCTGGCTCTAATTCAGGGCCAGAGGAACAACTCCATCTCTCATTCAGGAAGTGTACTACACTTTTGTCGGTGCAATTTATAATCATACTAGGTTTGGGGGCAGTAACTTTGAGTTATATTGAGAAGCCAGCCTGGAGATCCTCTTTATCACAGGCACTCTTATTAAGGTGCGTCTCTTACATAGTTTACATCTATGATTCTCAAAAGCGAGTTTTATGTTAGAATCATCTGGAGGCAGCTCTTAAAATGTCCAGAGCCAGGGGCCCACCCTAGAGATTCTGATTCCGTTGGAATTGTATAGGAACCAGCTAACAGTATTTTATTTTGAGCACTCCCAGATGATTCTCATATGAGCCAGACTTAAGGATCACTAAGTTACAGTGACAACTTTTAAAACATAAACCTAATTGTGTCACTTTGTGAAATAAAATCTTTAAGTGGCTTACCACTGCCTGGAAGGGAAAGACAGCAACTGATACTATTGACTTGAAAGGCCTGGCTTGACCTGGTCCCTGGTCTACCTCTGCGGTCTCACCTGCCACCACTCTCCAGTCTTCCAGCTCTTCAGAGATAGCATGTATTTTTCCACTTGCAAATCTTCAAAAAGCTATTCTTTCCTTCTGGAAAGATGTTTCTTCATCCTGCAAGTTACCCTCATTCTCATGTTCTCATCTATTTAACTTCTATTCAACCTCTAAATTTATACTGTTACCACTTCTTCTAGGATTCAGTTATCCCAAACCTGTAGTTATATATGCCCAAGGACTAGGACTTATCATAGATATGATTATATATTTATTTGTGTTTTTTAAATGAATTATACGCATTTTGAAATGAGAAAATGAATATTCTCCATAAGGTCAGAAACCAGGCCTGCTTTCCCATTATTGTATCCTAGTTCCTTGCACTCATAGGAAGGGCATAGTAAATATTTTTAAGTAAGTGAATGCAGTTCTTTTAACCCAAGTTCGTGAATGCCTATAACCCCACTCTCTTTATCTTGAATTTCATACTTCATTTTAGGTTTCTGGCATGTTAAATATTATATCCAGGACATGGAGTTCTCTCATATGATACTAGATATATTCCCAAAACCTATTAAGACATTTACATGTTTATCTAAATGACATTGTGAGAAATGACCAAGTCAGGGTCTGGCAAAAAGCTTAAAGGCCTGGAGTACAAGGTGGGGACAGCTATGATCAGAGTAGAGAAGGTATGCTGTGCCACTCACGAGAGAGGGTAGACTAGGTTGATATAACACACACAGGGTCATACACAGACACAAAGTATTTAAGGCACAAACCTGAGAAAAGGCATTCACCAGGACCCTTTTGGTTTCAGCAGTCAGAGCTCATTCAACTCAGCCTAAGGGAAAAAAAGGAGGGAGGTTCCTATATAACTGTAACTCCAAGTTGTGGATCTAAAGGTGGGGTGGAGTATAGCAGT